TCTGTGTGAGCTCTGCTCAGCAATAACAAAAACATCTCTACATAATCAATGCTGTGCTCTGCACAAATCCTAAACACAACCCCATATTAGCCACTGTGAAGAAAGTTAACTCCACTTCCGCCCAAACCAGCACACATGTGTATGTATAAGTGAAAGAGACAATCCCTTTTACATGAATATGATACATATTACAGGAAGCATATATTATTACCAAAGTTACTGCAGAATTGCCATGAGTTAGTAAATCACTTGTTATTCAAGAAGTGCTTTCCGATATTTTGAAATAACTTGGTCAGTAACAAGCAGGTGTGGCACATGCATCTAAACTTCATTTGCAAAAATCAATGTTTAACTTATCAAATGCAACCCTCAGCTGATTCCTGGCTGGGAGAAGTAGACAGGTTGTTGTATTTGAATGGAAAGGAAATTTCAAGCATCATCAGACTATCAAGAAAAATAAAATGGTCTCTTTCTATGGTGCTGTAAGAAAATATATTTCAGAATGTTTCTCTTTTATTTTCACCATCTGGCATGTTCAAGTAGTGAAATTCAACAATGAAAGTTGGATTTGTTTTTCACCTGTAAGTTAGGTCTATTTCTTGAACAAAATGTATGTGTGTGTAAGTAATTATTGCAATTCAGCTGAGGCTGCTTTGAAATTTGCCACTGTTAAGAACAGCACTGCAGTAGAGCAGGAGCTTGTCATGTCTGCGTTGGGTTTAAAGGTATGAAGTTAGTTTTAAACGTTTAATTGTATGCAAGGAATTATGTTCTCTCATAATTATAGAATCATAGAATGGTTTGTGTTAGAAAGGACCTTAAAGATCATCCAGTTCCAATCCTCTGCCATGGACAGGGACACCTTCCACTAGACTAGATTGATAAAAGCTCCATCCAGCCTGTCCTTGAACACTTCCAAGGATAGAGCATCCACAGCTTCTCTGGGCAATGTGTTCCAGTGCCTCATCACCCTCACAGTAAAGGATTTCTTCCTAACCTCTAATCTAAACCCACTTTATTTCATTTTGAAGCCATTCTCCTTTGTCCTATCACTTCAGTTCCTGATGAAAAGTCCCTCTTTGTCTTCCTTGTAGGCCCCCTTCACATGGTGGTTAGCTGCTAGGAGGTTTCCATGCAACCTTCCCTTCTCCACACTGAACAGCCCCAACTTCCTCAGGCTGTCTTTGTAGGAGAGATGATCTTTAAGGTCCCTTCCAACCCAAACCATTCTGTGATTCTGTGTTCCTTTATGATGCACTTCCCTTTTTGACTGGTACAAATGAATCCAAGACTTACACTCTTTTGCCTTTCTTTCCACACTGCCAAAACTGCTCCAGGAAATTCACTGTACCTCTGGAAGATGCATTTTGCTATTGGCTTCAGTGGAAACAGAATATCACTGTCTGTGGAGTCTTTAAGTAATTTTCCTCACCAAGTCCACCCCAGTCGACTAACTCTTCATGCTTTTCAAACACTTGTGAAGAATAAGAGAACATTAATCACCAGGAATGTGGTGTATGATTTGTCAAGGGACTTTCAGCCTCTTGAATGCTGACATTTTCTCTTTGCAGTGTGTCCCTCTCTGTAGTGATAACATTTGAAAAGTTCTTACTAGCACACACAGAGTGTTCTTCAGTTATTTCACGAATAAATGAATTTGAAAGATGTTTCTCTGTTTATGAGTCTGGTCTTCCTGACTTATGAATCCAGGCAATTTTTGTTCAAATATCAGCCCTGCAAGGTCAATTTAACCAGTGGAATATAAAGTAGTTTTCTGTCTGATTTATTCTTTTCCAGCAGACTTCTTAAGAGTGACATGATAGAAAACAATTCTGTAGTCCAGGGTTATTACTGTTTGTGATTAGAAATAAACCAGAAAGCCTGGTTTTCATTATTTTATTTAGATAGCAGAAATTGTCTTATATTTTTTTTACTCATGTTTTATAGAAACTTTCACACTTAGTATAAAATGCATGTAACTTTTTTCATCAAGATTCAGAATCCAAAGACATCTAATCTCTTTATGATAAGACAGAATATTCTGTATTTTGCTTCTCCATCCTTCCTTTTGGTTCTTTAGCTTTTGGAGTAGTTTTTAGCATATTCTTACTGTACATCAGTCAAATACAGCTTGCTAGTCATGGGAATTTAATTCAGGAATGAAGTCTTTTTGTATTTAATACAGCTTCTAATTTGGCTGGAGGTAACAGGACTGATAGGATCTTAAAGGCAAAATGTGGAGGAAGGGAGTATGAAACCCAGAGAATAAAAGGAAGGAAATTGTGTTAATTTAAATCATAAGCGGAAAAAAGATTGCTGAGAGAGACTAAGGAAATTGTGTTAATTTAAATCATAAGGGGAAAAAAAGATTGCTGAGAGAGACTGCTTTGAAGAGAGAATGTGTTTGAATCATAACAGTTCAGTGCTTGGGACAGAAGTAGGTAAAACCATGTGAACATCATCAAACATTTGTGTTTTGAAGATTTCCAAATGTGCTGTACAAACAGCAAAGTAGCTGTGCCTGCAGTTGTAAATAATGGATTTCCTTCTTCCGTTTAGGCTGCACTATAACAAGTCTTTTTCTTCTTTCCCAAGTGACTATCCCAGGAGAATCTAGACTATTTAATACTTATAATTTAAAGGTGACACTGAAGCCTTTTATTTCCTTACTCTGCTCTTAGCTCTATTTAACCAAAACTTGGCAGAGCAAGTGCCAGAGTTCTCATATTGTTGATTGTTCATTCTTAGCATTTTAGAATGCATTTTTAGAAGGAAATGGGATCAATAGTTTTCTGAACTTAAATAGAAAAAAAAATGCTCCATTTTTCTATTTCTCTTTCAGGAAAGCAGTTTAAATGTACAGTGTGTGACTATACAGCTGCCCAAAAACCACAGCTGCTACGTCATATGGAACAACATGTCTCTTTCAAGGTAAGAAAACAGATAAATCATGCTTGTTTAAATCATCCTTAAAGTCATTAAGAAATGCATGGAACTTCAGGCAACAGTTTTAACATTTTCCTGTTTGGTGGCATTTATGGTATATTAACATTTTAATATTTGGAAATTTTTGATTTGTGTTCAGACTTTTGAGATAAGGTAGTTTTGTTCATAGCCAATTTGTAATTACTATCTTTACTTGCCAAAAATATCTGTATGTTGCAGTATAACCCAAACATTATTGGGTTCATTTGGTTGTCAGTCCTTGAGAGAACAAATCTTATATGTACCTTAAAATGTCCTAGGGAGGTAGGAAAAAAATCCCATACATCACAATTCATTGCCCACCTTAATTTTCTCTGAAATTATGCCAGTCTATTGTACTATAGATGAGTTCATATACTTGAAGAAAATTGAGGAGAATTAGTTTTAAAACACCCAATTTATCTGAAACATGTCTTGGAAAGAGTTTTGAAGATTGTTAATGTTTCTATGAAGTGTTTAGATTAGAGATACAGTTTATTTTAATAAACTGTAGTATGGTTTTATTTCTAAATTTCACACTGATTCTCAGCGTGATAGGTCTTGATGTAATGAATTGTGAAATGTTATATTCAATAAATAGAAATTATGCTAGTTTCTATTCCAGGAAATGCCAGTATTTTGTATTTATGAAAATGTTCACTTTAATAGAACTCTTTATCTTGGCAATTAGAATATTTCTTACTGAAAATATCATGCTATTTTCTTATGCAGCATCCTTCATTATATAACAGATCATTCTAGTTCTATAAAGAGTACACCCTCTGCAGAGGGATCTGGATAGGCTGG